GCATCCGCGTTCCCTCATCTTCCTTGGATTAATCGTCGAGAGCCACGCGATACTTCCGACCGCGTTCGTGTCCCTGCACCGATGCCCTTTCTCGATTTTCACCGCGAGCAGTCGCAACGTTGGATAACGGGCGAAAAACTATGAATCGTCCTCTCGAGCGCCAACAGAGTTTACGGAGACAAGGAACGAAGGTACTCGACACGTTTACGAAATTCCACGTCGCTTAAACGTAGCGTCTACGGAACACCACGAAACGGTAGCTCGTATTCTTTAAAGAAGCTTGTATCGGGTTGTCCTGAAAGTTTGCAATTCAAAGGCCAAAATTCGTGGACTTTCCAGACGAGCCAATATTTAAAAACTCATCGTGAAAAAAGAAAACACGTAATTTTAAACAAATCTTAATGTTTCCATGGGGGTGACATACTTCGGAGATTCCGATCGATGTTTGTCGACCCGACTCGACCAGAACGTAATTCCGCATATCTCTGTTTCTAACCCGAGAGGATAGTAAATATCACAAAAATGTATTCCGAGCTCGAGCACGTTAGAGGAAAATGTAAAATACTAGCAGGCTGGCATTTCATTCACTTTTAATATCTCGTTGTCGTTGGCATATATTCTTTCGGAAAATTTCAACGATTTTCATTAGATGATTATGTTTGCGAAACAGCGACGTTCCCTTGTTATGGTAATTAGCATTATAGGACGAAGGGTGGGTCTGGCAGCTCACCGAGGGTTAATTAATTCGGTATGGGACAACGGGTCGCTGCCATCCGACACGCAAGATAAAAACTGCTGTTCGTAACCATATTAATTAGTATCGAAGTCGATTAATTCGCTCCGTGGATTTAATCTTCCGTGGCGAGCCTGTCTCTGCCATCGAACGTGCAGCGTCGCTCAGCGTTGTTGTCGTAACGCGATATTCGCGTTGTTTCGCCTCCGCCTTCATCCGAAATATCGCCTTCGGGTTGTTGCAGAGTTCACGAAACCGTTGACACGTTTCCAATCTTTTTCTGTTCGAGCATAGTCGTACGGAGACTCCAGAGGCAATTTATCTTCGTCGTACTTTCGTCGCTTCTCCCGGTGTCCCGAGATCGTTCGGCTTTTCTTCGCTGGCCGCGCAACTTACGCGTATTGTCGGATCGATTAATCTCGCGCGACCCGTTCATTTTTTCCCAACGTTCGCGAGACCCTTTCCAGAAAATCTCATTTATCCGTTTCCGAGGGCGCGCGTCGCGAGCTACATCGTGATCGATCATCCCGCGTCCAATGGCACGGGACTTTCCGCGTCGTTGCTCGCTTCCGGTTCTCTTCGCCCACCGGACGACCGATCCGTACAGTTGCATCCTCTTCTCGTTGTTTTTTTTCCTTCCTATTGTTATCGCCGCGGAGCCTCGCGCGATGTTTCTCGTTGGAAAAAGCTTGGCTCGGCTGCGCGAAATGTACCGAGGTCCGTCCGGTTCGAAATTCGTTTGTAATCCCATTCGAAGAACGATTTCAATGTCACAGTCAAAGTAAATTTCGAACGAGCCCCTTTGCGGAGTTTGTCCCTTGTCACTATCTGCCTTCTGTTAGCGTACTTTCGTTGCCGCAGCATCGACTCGACAAAATGGACAAACTTTGTCTATTTTTACCGTTCCATTCTGTATACGTAACATTTCCGATGCAGTTTTTCTATTCAACGTTGGCCCTTCTGTCTTGGAGTTCCATCCGTCGAGTCCCATTGACAGAATTTGTAACTCCGCCAAGAGAATCTGTTGATGTTTTAGTCTGGATCAGTCCGCGATGCGAAATGTTTTCCATTCATCCGATAACCCAGTTTTAACATTTATTTAACGCGCTCATTTTTCTTATACCTATTTCCTTTACGCTCGAAACCTTTCGCTTTTGTCGAATTTATTCCTCGCTGATAATAGGATCCTCGAAGCTAAAGAAATAAAATGAATTCTTTATTCGCGTTCAAAATACCAATCTTGGATAAGCTTTTGTATAACCTTTTTAAGATATATATTCTACGTAAAATTTCGATTTGTACATGTCGCGTTTCGTACCGAGCAAAATTTAGAAAGCACCGCTAGAAGAATAGCAAACGTTAGGATTCGATCTCCCTCGTCCGATCCAAAAATCAAACATTTATGTTCCTCGCGTTCTCTAAGTTTATCGGCTAGCCAAACATTGACCATCGATGCGTAAATTACACGAAATTACGAGAGAATCGTGCCCGTGAGACTATTCGCGGGCTAATTATAGCACAACCCCCGTCGAGGAAGCTCATCCGTGTTTATCATATTTATATTCGGCAAATGGTATATTTTCGCGAGCTCGACGGCGCGGCGCATCTGCATCTGCGTGGTGTCATCACGCGGACCGCGTACGTCTGCGGATGTTTACACGGTCGACCACAGCTGCGAAATGTCAGGAAGTTGTCCTCGAATGCAGTTTCGACGGACACGGCCGCGACCGCGTGCACTTTCGATATCTTTTACCGTCTGCAGCCACGCAAATCGCGTTCCGCCGTTTTTCGCGTTACCCTGTCGCAACAAGAACGTTTCGTTCGAAATCGGACTTGACGATTGGATTCTAACTCGGATAGGTTGTAATCTAAAGCCACCTGCTCCATTCCTCGTGTTCCGTCGGTGCTTTTCACCGAACCGAGACTTACAGAAAATTCTTTCGAGATCCCCGATGCAATGAAACGGTTTCCGCGTTTTACGTCTTTCCTAATTCCTCATTTTCCTTATTCTCTCTTCTCTAAAAATAGTCTCATCCGAACAATTGCTTTCCACGGTATATACATAGACTTTATGTAAAGCACCGAATCGTGGGGCATCTCTGGTTCATGATCAGGGTCGAAATAAACCGATCCGAGTCCCGAAATACGCGATGTCCGTATGATCCAGACGATAGATTTAACGCGAAGAGCGCGAGTTTGCGGTTGCCTTTATCGTCGAGTGGCTTCGCAATTCCGGAATTGTACATTATCGTGGCCCGTTAAGGAAATTTTGCAGAAGAATTTCAGCGAGATCCACGAAGCACGATAAAAAGGAATAGCGGCGAAACGTGCGCGCACACTTTCGTACTAGCCGCGGGACGATTCAGACATCGATCCATCGCGATGTAAATTACCGACTTGATTTCCGGATAAACTTTTATTACCGATGACTATCGCCTGCGAAAAAACTAGGAGTTATTCGCGCCCCTAAGCTCGAGCCAGATCCGTGACATTGCGGTGGAATTTATCGAATGACGAACGCGATAGGAAAATCTCGGTTTCGAGGTATTTTTAATTTTTTTTTTTTTTTTATCAATTTCCACGGTTTTCATCGTTTCACTCTGACGCGTTTCTCGTCGATTTTCGACGCTCGGTCGTGGTTAGAGGCTCGTTAAAGAGATATAGCTCGTTAATGATGGATTCGGTGCAGCTATCGTCGCGCTGCGTGCCGGAACGACGGTCATTTAACTCGCGTACTTTATATCTTCCAGCCGAGAAGCCTAGTGTAACGGCGCGGTCCTGTACGCTGTACTGCTTGCTCGAGATAAACGTTACAACGTCGTCTCGTAAATTACATCGACGCATTATAGGGTTGGTTCTCGCGCGAGAAACTTGGTGGGTCGTGAAAAAATTTCCCTGGGACGCGAGTCAAGGTGTTATCAAAGGTCGCATCAAACGAAGGCGCGAATTGCAAATGCGTCGGATCATTTCCACGAACGATTCCGCGTGGGAGGAAAATTGTCTCGCGAGTTGTCGCAGACTGTTACCGCAACGTAAAATTAACTTAACGAACAGCTTTATCCCGCGTTATTTCACAATTAGGTGACGGCGTCTCCGCGGCTCCCGCGAGACGGAAGAAGCTGCATCTCGATGCAGATGCGCGAGAAAAGTTTCCTCGGGTGCCCTCGATGCGAAACTTCATTTTGCCGCGGTGAATTATCATCGCATCTTATTACCAGAGTTGTGGTGCCAGAGGATGAGAAACGGTCGCGGTATCCTCGCGAAACGCGAAGGTTTCCGACTTGGCCTTAGGATTTACGCTCGGGGGTACGGCCGTTGCTAAGTTCCGCGGTAACTACATAGAAGCAAGATCGCGGAACATAATATTCTATCGTAGCGGTTGCTGGATCCCGCGATACAATGGTCGGTTTCGAGTTCTCGATTTATCGTTTTCCATAACTGATTGGGAAAGTGTGGAAAATTGGCGCGAAAGCGACGATTAACGCAGCGTCGGCGGCAATTCCGACAACACTGAACCGCAGAGGTCGCGAAAGGAGCGAAAATCCGGTGGTTTAGGTGTAATCGTTACGGAAACAGGCGTGGACGAGCTTAAAGCCTGGTATCGTCGTCGCGCGTTTGAATGGTGCGCAGTAATGTCGCGGGGAAAATCGCCGCTAAAAGCGTAATTGACCGAGCAGGACGGAGAGCAGGCAACTCCCGGTGGATGGAGAAGGAAAAAAGAAAAAAGAAAAACAGCGAGACAATGCGGGGTTGTTAGTCCTAATGACTTCTTCTGTGCCGCGAATTCGCGTTTTCGAAGCGAGAGAAGCTCTGATGCGTTTTTCCGTTGTCGTCGCGCAATTTAGCCAGCGGTACTCGAGGATTTCTAATGCGGTCCGGTGTTCCTCATTGTTTTGCGCGGGACTATTTCACCGTACCTGGAAAGACACGCGCGATTCTCGCGTCGCGTTGACTCGATCCTTTCTTCTTTCGAATCCCGTTGTTTTATCCGCGACAGTTCCAGAACCTTTCGCGTATGCTTTGTTTCCAACAGTTGCGGCACGCTAGAGCGACGTACTGCGAACTTTTGTAAAACATTAACTACGAACTCGTATCGACTCTAGTAAAAGGTTTGCTGTTTTCAATAAATATTATATTGAACGTTCTCAACCCCCTATCGAAGATGTCGGTTTTCTGATCGTAGAGAAAGATTAATACTGCGACCAATAGGATACGTGGCGGTCGCGATACATTACTAATCGTGTTTCTGTGTCCTTTCTTGTTGCAGAAAGCTAGATTAGCGCGCATCAGGATCGCGAAAGCGTCGAGCGGGGCGGCCTTTGTCAGCAAAAAGAAGGCGGCCGAAGCCCGATTGGCCGCGCAGGAGAGCGGCCTTCAGCTGGACGAGAGTTACAAGGAGGAGGATATTTTCGAATTGCAGCACCATCATCTCCTTCGTTGTCTAGAGAAGACCACGGTAAGTCTGTTTAGAATACTTTTTATCAACACCGTACCTCACGGTTAAGAAAAGTTTACGCTAGCAACGGGTTTTATATACGATTTCGTAACTCCTCCACGAACAGCGTGCGTTAAGTGTTTTTTACATTCCGTAATCACATTTTTTACCGTCTGAACCAATACAGCGATAGTGGGCGGGCTTCTCCGCGCTATTCTACGCGGGCGGCGGAGCGTCGATATTTCCTTAGGGATATTAATACAACGTAGCCGGTATAAATATAATAAAAATACATTTTTCCACGGCATCTTCCATGAAGTATTACGTAAAGTCGTCGGTAATCCACGTAATACTTGTCCATCGAATACATGGAAGGCATGTTTCTCGCGTCGTGATATGCTTCCTTTCGTGAACTCTCGTTCGCAACCGTACTGGCTCCGATGTGTGAAACACCGGGGTTGGAGAAGGAACGTTCTCGTTTCGATGACGACGAGAGTTCCTCCGTTGGCGGAGAGAAGAAGCGCACGCTTCATTAAGCTGCACGCGGACCTCGTTTAATTTCGTGGCGTCACTCTGTGAAACGTCGTGTTATCCGAGCCGGTTCATTTCTCGGGCGAGAAGTATAACGCCGACGCTTAAAATCCAGGAGTCCGTTTCGCGCGCTGCGGAGTAATTTGAATAAACCCCTTCTGTTCGCGTCTAATTTTAGCTCGCCGCTTGTGCAGGGGATGCCGTGTGCCACCCACCGAGCGCCACACACTCGGTGCACACACGGAGAATAACCCTTGCGCGTCACTGTGACAGGTACACGGACCGGCGCGTGTCGGTGAATGTGTGACACACGCGCGATCGTGCATACAGCCTCGCTCGCGTCTTCGCGCGATGAGATATAGAGGAGGTCTCGCCAAAGCGTTCAATGCCGTGCGAATCTTTTGACAAAAGGTTGTGAACCAATCGAAATTGCGATACTCGAGCTGTCGCAGAAGCCAGAAATTTAGGCGTGCCCGACACCCGACCCGTTACGATTCTCGTTACCACGTGACCGGCTCTCCGTCACAGGTGTCATCGTCCGCCGCTCAGAATCTCGTCTACGCTCGAGCGAATTTTATTCGACCCCTTTCGGGCCTGAATTTCCACGACCAGACTACTATCGATATTTTTTCGTGCTAATTATCAAAGAGATCTCGTCAAGGTGGTCTTCCGACTCTCTAACGCGATACCGGTCGTCGAACGACTGATAAATAGGTCAGTCCGCGTTCGGCGAATCGTAGCTCGGTGGCCACTCGAGCCTGAATTTCCACGGAAATTGTGTTAATTGCAAGTTCTCGGGAAAGGATTCATCGATTAAATGCAGAGGTTATCGGTTCGAGGGGATGCATCGTGCATTTTACGAATGCAAGTTCGAGTGTAATTCTGGCCCGTCTATTCTGAGAGACGCCAAGTGGTTTTTAATACGTCGTTCGAGTTCCCCCATTTTTAGGAGATGGATTGAACTTGATTCGAGGGTTCTTCAATATTTCAATCGCGTTTCCAAAACTGTTACACCTGACTGCAGTACGCTCGGACACGGCCAGGCGTTACCAACCAGAATTTCGTTACAAATTTAACTCTGGCGGTACGAAAGTCGGGTCGAACACGGAAAGCACGAGTCGGACGCGTCCCGTGCAAGCGATTTTATATCTGACTACTGCACGCGCGGTACCAGAGTAAGCGGTAGCGCAAGGGATTCATTTCCTGGAGCCACCGATTATACTTGTCAAGTTTCCAAAGCTTGTCTCGCGTTTCTCCGCCGCCGTACTTTACGTTACTCCGCGCGTTCCGTCCCGATCGACCCTTCCTTATCAGTTTCCAATCGGGTTCGTCCTTTTTCGAGTCAACGTTGTCCAACGACAGACTCACTTTGCCGTTCTTAGCCTTCTTCCCACTCGGTGTACTTAACCCAGAAAGCAATACGATTCCGGCAACCTTTGTCGGGTCGTCGAGAAAATCGCGCACACGGCCTGGGGCTGTGTCGTTCTACTTCTTGCCGTTTACTGGATGCTTTTTGAGCACGCGTACGTGCCACCGTCTCGGTTTTCTGCTTACTTTTAGTCGCCTTCTTAGCCATTGTCCCGCGAATACTATCCGCGAGAATCCTTTTTTCCTCCTTATTTTCCGTCGCATCGGAGGCGTTTTCGCTACCGTTCCTTCGTTCTGACCTTCGCGCTATCTCGTCCTTATCCACGATCGCTTTGTGTTTCGCAACAACCAGCCAAACTTTAGCAATTTCACAGTTCCAAAGTCGTTCGGTGGCTGTTGGTTGAACACCGTTGCCGAGAAGTTGCTTCGAAGAATCGTCGACGAGAGAAATTCGGTGTCCCTTCCGGTTTCTAGTACGTATCGACAGCGCGACTTCGTCGTGTACCATTCGACTTTTTTTCTGTATCTTTGAAATACCGCAAACGACGAGCGAATCGAATATTCGAATGTTTGTTATTAATTATGGAGTAACTCGAATGGTACGTAACAAAATCAATCCTTCTACGATATCTCTCTGTAGCCAGGTGTTCGAGCAACATTGATTAATGTGCTTGTACAAGAATCTACAATGAGCCCTCAAGGTCTGAGTTCTAACTTTCGGTTTGATTTAAACTTTGAGCTCGTTTGGGGAAGAATACTTAATTACGGTGGGAAACTTGACGGAGAAAAGGACCGGGTTGCCGCTTGACGTCAGCAATGATTAAAACGTAACTTCGAACGACGTTGATTCTTGTAGCCTAGAATGGTAACGTCGGGATTCGAACAATGGAAAATTGCTAAGTGTCTGGTTGGTGCGTCGAAGGATATTTTTACGGTTTCGAAGTTTTTCTATTCGGAAGTTTATTGAGGAACGTTGGATCGGCTTCGAGGGTAGCGACAATTCGCCGCGGAATACTTCCCCGGACACTTGCGCCGTTCTACTATTTCCTTTTCTTTCAAATTTTCCAATCAGAAGCTTCCTCGGTCCACGTTTCCCCCACGAAGAATGCCTCGACGCTTCCTCGTCAAACTTGTCCCGTGTTGTTTTCTCCGGTAATTGGCAACCGTGTTTCGCACTCCTGTTTTCCACGGAATCGCGAAACGGTGGATTCTGTATTCTCTCGCGATTCGAAAGAACGGTCCACGGATAACGATGACACGCTTCGCGATAACGTCACAAGGTATCAATGGTAGAACGCGTTGCGGTCGCCGGCGGGACGGCGATGGTTCGCGGATCGGCTCCACGGCCGATCGATCAACCTCTTCCGTAATCGTGTCACCGTTCTCTGACGCGGTGTCGATTTTCCAGGGCGATCGGTCCACGTTCGCGACCGAATAAATTGTTTTCCTGTCTCTGTTTCGCGACTACGAAGGGCCGGCAAATGAAATCCTGTTGGAATTCTATAACGACGGCGAACAGACGTTTGGTCGTCGTCCAAAACATTGTTTTCTCTTCGGAGATTTATTACGATTATATAAATAAATCTTAGATCGTAGCCACCTGTATTCTCGATACAATAAATATCGATTATCGCGGCACGAGAGACGAGGAAAAATACTTGTATCCGGTACAAAAATGTACACCACGATCGCTCGATGAAACCTTGATCGCATTTTACAGCTAAACGATCGAGTCGATTAGAGGCTTTGTTTACATCGCGTGTTCCCACCGCGCATCGAATAACGCGAGATATAATTTATTCTCTATCCTCGAGGGATATTGTCTCGAGCCGATAAATCCATCTATTTGTTCGATGTTCACGGAACGGGATTGGATATTGTTTCGTCGTCGACGGAAAGGCATGGAAACGATCTCGACGAGAGGTTTCGAGGCGAGTGTTTGCGTTTGTTGCGCAGCTCGCGAGTATCGGACGCGGCCAATCGGTGTCTTCGTGTCGGTGTATTGATTTCTTCCGGGTCGTGGTCGGCCTCGATCGAATCTCATCGGAATCGGAGTCGTCGGGGCGAGACGTCATACCCGGGACTAATTATAGCTGGGAAACGGCGTTAAAGAGACCCCGAGAATAGAGCAGCCCCCATCGGATTTTCCGATTCGCGTGGCACAGCGGATGCAAGCGTCGCGGAAGAAAGTGTTCTCGCGTCGACGTCGCCTCTTCTGGACGCCTCGAAAACATCCTCGCGTCGTTCATCGCGTGCTCTTGCGTGTTAAACGACTCGTTCTGTTTTTCGCTTTTCGCGTGCGCGACGATCGCGAATCAAGGAGTCGTGCCACCTTGGCGCTGTCAAAATAGAGGACATTCTCGCGAATATTTCGCGACGACTCTATATGCTCGATCGAGATGCGTTTTATTTCCACCGAAGATGAGTAATATTTCTTGTGTTTACGTTGGACGCCAGGAAAAGAAATGGCGTTGTTTTCAGCTGCGACGTGTCAGGAGTTGATTCTATTATATATTTCGTAAACGCTATTCGACCGAGAGATTCGCGAGATGATATCGAAACTGGAAGCTTGGCTCGCTCGCAGAGTTCGAAAGTCTCGTTTCTGGAAATTCCGGATCTCGCAACGTGTCTCCGTTGAGTGAAGAGCGATCGAGAGAAAAATCTCGCCGGGTCACGGTCCCTGTTCGACCGTTCGCCTCATTTTCCTTTTTCTCTGGCTCGAGTCTCTCTTTGGCCCTTGCTCTGTCTTTTTTCTCGCCACTTGGTCCTTTCCGGCACGTTTATTTCCAGCTGGACGATATTAAATTCACGAGAGGCCAGCCGTGTCACCGTTTTTCGGCGCGGCCGCCGAGCGATCCATACGCAACGCCGGATATTCACAGTTCGCATTTCCTTGCCGTTTTCACGCTTTCCACCGAGCGTGAATTTGCACACGGTGAACGGTGGTTTTAATTCTCCCGTCTGGTTCGTTTAGTGTAACCTACTTTCGCCGAAACCCGAATCATTTGCTTCTCCGATTCGTTAAAACATTTGTTATTATCGTTACCGGGTGACCGTATTTACATTTTTTTGATTTACAATTAACGGTCGGCGCGAATGAATAAAATAGAGACTACAACGTTTCGAGATAACATTTATCGTGACGCTGGTCGATGAACGTGCACTAGGTCCGGTTTAAAAGTCGACCTTTTATTTGGGTGCCGTTCGTCGGGTCGCGAAGGCGGTTATAAACGACAAGAACCGCCGAAAATGGACGCGAGCGCCGGCGACACCATTTTAGAAATGCAGCGACCGCGAGACGCGGCCAAGATGAATATGCATTCCCCGTGGAATAGAGGCAGCGATCGGTGTTCGTAAATCCAGCTAGGCCATCCTCGTACCCCGTAAATAACTCGCTACGGCATCCGACGCGGCCCCGAACACTTGTCGCGATTTTATTGCCGCTTTTACCTATTCCAATGTTCTACCATATTTCGCGGGATTGCGGCTAACGTCGGTCAAAATTTGTCCGATTTTTATGGTAGCTACAATTTAATCGCACGCTCCGTTACGCTAATTTCTAACCGTGTCGCGTTTTAACAAGGGGCAAAGCGGTAGTTTCGCGCTTGCAGTTTGTTTCGGTAGTTGTTCGTAAATGACTCGATCGGGACGCGAAATAGTATCCAACGCTTTTCCAAGTAGATTAGTCCGATTGTACGATTGGACGAAACGAGGCGAGTCGCGCGGCAATTCGTTTAATTTATATTTAAACGTGCGCGGTTGAATTTCGCGAGGTTAGATCAATGGCTGCGCTAAATAGGAAGCGCAATTGGTGACACCTCGAAAACGGTGTCACGTCACGCGTCACTATCTTGGAGAGGTCAGTGCGTTTATAACCACCTTTACAATTCGTTGTACGAGAATAGCCGAGCATCGGTCTGTTTATAGAACGATTCCGTGCGCTTTCTTTCCGCGCGTGTCGCAACGTTTATCCGTCTCGAGTTTTCCTACGATACGTTCTCTAGGTTTTTTTTTTTTCGAACTGGTAGAATATATCGGGCCTTTAATTAAAATTTCCGAGAGACAAAATATACGCTATTCGGAATTTTGTCGAGCTGAATCGAACCTTACCAAAATGGAATACGTATTCGGTAAATTTGCACGAAAAAGTAAAGCGAGTCCGTTGTTGGTTCGGCAGGGAAATTTCGTAGCTTTCAGATACATATTTCTCGGCTTGAGTACCCGTCGCGTATTAACGAAGTTCTCGCGTAGAGTTTTTCGTCGAGTCCAAAAGTTTCTTTCCTCCACGCGAACTTACGATAGACCATTCTTACAACAATTTTGAAACACTCGCGCTTCTTTAACGAGTTTACTTTTAGAAACTCGCGAAGATTGTATCCGTATATTCTTAAACTCTCGTTGAAATCCAGCCACGGTAAGTAGAGAAAGATTGAGTGGAGCGCCATTGCCGAACTAGGAACTGTCGTTTGTCCATCGATCAAAGTGGAACGCGTATCCTTGCTCCAGTATGCGACCAAAAGCCGTCCGAGTTGCCGCTTCGAAACAAACTTTGAGAGACACGCGAGTGTGTTCTTCGAACCGTCCATCGTCAACATTATCATCGAGACGGTGTCTTCGTGCCTGGATCGATGGAGGTCGGCTTCTCGCGTCGTTCTAGCACCGTGTTGGAAACGAGCGAGATCCATGGGATTCGGAAACCGAAATTTCGTACCATCGATCTCGGGCTTTGCGCCGTACCTCGATCCGAGGTAGACCATTTTTACAATTACATTTCCTTGGCGGATTCGCTAGGACGTATCGACGAGATTCTCGCAAGAGTGAAAATAATGGATGGAGCGGGTGAAGGGTGTCCTTTGTCAACCGGATATCCGAACCCCCTTCGAGGAGCTCGTTTTATTTTCACGCTCAGCTACCCCTCGCAACGAGACTTACACGATAAGGACGAGCTTAATCCGAGAATGGCGGAGAAACGGAGGCAATCCGCCTCGAAACGCAAACTGCGAATAAACTTTGCGAATTGTCGAGAGACTCCCCGGGGCTTACGTACGACGCATTTAGTCGACGTTTTTCTTATCTCTGCGGCCTGTGAACGAATACTTTTCGTGTCCCGTCTTTGGAACGAATGTCTTCCGCTCGGTGGCGACGTTTGCGCGAAATAATATAAATTTTTCGGGTCGCTGTGCGAGGATTATATCGGATTCATGAAATTTAAATATCTCCACGGGTCAGCGGTTTTCGAACAGAGGACAACGCGCGAGCAATCAGCGAACATAGAGCTTTTGGTATTCCTGGAGCCGTTTGATTTCTTCATTATTCAACAAGTGAAGCTTGTCGATGTGAATAAATGAACACCGTACCGATGCAGTCTGCATCTCGAGATATTTAAGACTTATCGCGGATTTGTACGAACACAGTTCTAATACGAGACCTGCAAAGTTTTTTTTCTTTTTTGTAATTCGCAAAATGGCGCAGGTGGGCCACGTATTTACGGCCAGATTCTCTAGCTAAAGTACGCAGCAGCGGTATTTCTGGTAGGATTGCTCGGTCATAGATCAAATCCTGACAGGAGTGCACCTGGCTGTTGCGCAAACTCGTGCTTCCCCTCTGGCTATGTAATTCGAGCGGTGGAACAACTTCCAACATGTTTCGAGCAATACTCGATGGACCAAACTTTGGTTGGCAGCGCACGGGAACCTTCCGGAACGCGAATTCGACTTCGGTAATTGTTAAAAATAAAAGGATCGTTGCAACGATACGCGGAACGGAAATATTAATTATTAATACGACGACGTTTCGAACAGATGTAGCCGAAGTTTAAGGATGGAAGAAAATTCATAAATATTATTTCTCGGCACAGAATAATTCATTATATGTAGAAATAGGAGGGTGTTGGGCGATGAGAGAGATTCCGTGATTAATTCAGTCTCGTCTATCGATCTCTGACTAAAGGTCGCGGCGTATGTTCTGGTATAGGAGAGAGTATGGCGAACAATTTAGAGGAAGGAAATTCTAGACTTTCCGTGGGCGCGAGGTATATTGACTTCGCGCGAGTCTGTGCAGTTACGTGCACGATCTACTTGGCCGCAACGGCGTCCGATTAAAAATGTACAAACGAATTCTACGCAACACCGTTGACGAATCTTTGTCGATCAAAGATAAATTAATTCCTTAATAAGTACACGATATTTCATGTCTAATATTACGTTATCAAATCGCGTACGATCCGTTTCGTTCTGTTACTGTTACAACATCGACATCTAAGAAATTAGGTTGTCTATTTATATAAACACTGGCACACAAAATAACCGAGTGCCAGTCACGAAAGAAACTTTTGAGGCAACCTAATATAATAATGAATACGAGTTAAAATAACACTGAAACGTTTCATTTTCAAACGGTTACGACTCGATTTCGTGCTCGACCATTGAAACGTTAACGGCCACGGAATTATTTGTTTCAGGACCGTGAGTTCGTGGAGATGGAAGTGCCCTACAACGGTGCCCCGAAGAGGCCAGGCTCACCTTCGCCACTGACTTCCCCCGCGCACAGCACTGCCTCCAGAGGCGGCCTCCTGCACGCCTGCTGCGGCCGCTGCTACCCCCAACGTTACCAGGTACGCGGTCGCCGTATTCTCGCCTCGACGACCTCTATAAGCGAGGGTCCACCCTCGTCTTCCTCCCACTCTCACCAATCGCAGCCGGGCGGGCAATCGGTGCATTCCGATTATCACCCGATTGATCCAACCACGGTGCCGAATGTCGCGTTTAACGTGCCCGGTGACAACGATCGGCAACGTCGTCAGGGCACCAGCTCTTCCAGCCCCTACAACGAGACAAGGGTGTGAGCCGGGCTCGGGTCAAGGATTTCTTAGGAGACCGTTGATTCGTTCAAACGAGGAACGGTTTGCTCGACTTAGGATCGGAATTATCATTCCGCGATCCTGGTGTCTTTCCGTACGAGTCCCGAAATCTCTCATCTCTCTCGTCAACGAGATGGACTCGAGAGCAGGACTTGTTGCTGTACGCAACAGGGTTATCGATGTGGCTGTCCTGTTTGGAACCATGTACGAATCAGATTTCACGGCGATGGAGTCTGTGGGTGGTTCAGGTAGCATCGAGTAGTTGCAGGAGTTACTTCGGTAAACGAGAAAGTCGAGTCTTTTCCTCGCGTAAGTGTACGAACGATCTATCAATAGAATACAGAGACTGATGTCTACCCGATCGGTTAGCCCCCGATCTGGTAAAGGGTAACCGTTGTTAGTTTCGATCGAGGAACATCCATAGCCGAGCTGTGAAGTAATCTTAAGATTACCAACGTCTATTTATTCTTCGAGCTTTCTGGCGTTAGACGATTCTTCGCTGATAACGAGGATTTCGATGTGGTAAATTTGGGCGATCTTGCGGCCTATCGATTCTCGCCGATCCCCTCGATTTTTAAACGAATCGCACTTATTGCGAGCGAATCTGGTGCTAGAACAAAAAGGCTGTGTTCCGATCCAGGTTACGATTAGGTTACGTATCGCTTGGAGATTCATTTTCGGGATTCGATTAAACTTTGTTGAACGAGACTATTGGGAAAAATAGAAGATCTCCCTTTGATTTTGGAGTCGCGGTAATTGACGCGATTCGTTCCGATAGATACTGGCGACAAAAGGCTGAAACTCTCGAAAAGCGAAATATCGCAATTGTTAGCGACGTCGAATCCCGATTTTTAAGCACGACCTCTGGACGTGCCAGCGAGGTCGACCCTCCCTCGAGCACTGCCAGCGAGGGTTCGAATTTCGAACTCGCACTCGTTCCCCGGTGATATTCTCGCTGTTTTATCTCTCTCGTGCGCGTCGATCGTTCGGTACGCTTGATAAGAGCTGGATATAAGCCTGACGTTCGGAACAAAATGTGGAAAATTTTTTGCCGCCTTTCCTTCGAGAGAATAGAAAACGGGGTTACTCGATCTCGATTGAGCGGAACTCCGCGAAATACTGTACGCAAAGCGAGATCGTACGGTCGAGAGAAATACCGCTTTAAATGAAATTTAAATAGCGATGGGTGAACTGAAAGATATTTGACGTCGAATACCCAGGCATCGAAATATGTTCCAGTTATCCATCTAGCTGTGAAGTTTCATCGAAATCGGTGCGTTTCACGAACGCCGTTCGTCTAGGAAATCACGAGAACAAGCGTACCTTTCCGCAGCGATTGTTCGTTACGAATGTAATAAATAAAGGAAGGATCAACGGACGCGCGCGGCGTGTCGCTGATGCATGAACAGAGGAATTCATTTGATTGGAATTCCTCCAAAATCAGTGCGAAGGGACGGAGAACGCGCTCGAGAGATTGTCCGTGCTTAATCAACGTTCCTCGCGGATCCTTCGCGAATACCTTGAACCGATGCTGCCACTTTGTCTCCGTCGCATTTTACTTTCTTCGGAATTTCTGGCGAATCTGTACAGACCAATGCAACTACACGCTACTCGAAGGTTTTCTTTGCTTTCGAGCAAACGATTATCTTTCTTGTCGCAACGTATTTTTCACGCTTTGCGTTGAGATCGTTACGTGGGGATCGGAATCATATCAGTTTAACGAGATAATCGATTAATCGTTGTCGCTCTCGATCGAGGCACGACTAGGATTTTATCGTAGATCAGCTTTAGGCTGTCGTTCTCATTCTCCTTAGGCATGTGTTCAGCCGAAGCTGGCTCCAAATGAAATTATCTAGCTCTATTCTACCGTTTTCGGCGAATTCTAAATCAATGTCGTAGTGATTCTTCCAGAACGGGGGTAGAACCACTGGATTTACTGTTCCCCGAGACAGAAGAACACGGGCATTCGTCGAAGACGTTTATCGGAGAGATAATCGAACCGCGAACATAATTCCGAAGCGTATTCTATGGGGTCTTGGTAAGTCCAGTGTGTCTGCGTTTCCGATCGAAATTGCTAGGTCTTTACGAGAATACGTAGATCGTCCTTAGATATTACCTCTTTCGGTCGAGCGGCTTTTTCTTCGAGCAGTTCGGGTAGCTTCCTCACGTCTTCCGAAGCACGCAAGCAGCTCTTCGTCGGCTCTATCTCGTAAGGACGACCCCACGTGTTTCCCAGCGATGATTCTACGCGAATCGCGAACGAAACGCTTCGAAGCGTGACCCGCGATCGTGTCTGAAATCTAAATTATAAACTGTCCACGTTTTCAGAGCAGGAAACGTTCCGAGATCCACTCGCGTGATCATCCGCGTTTCGCAATTGTTAAAAAAGATGCTAACACTTGGCTCGAGGTCGTTCTCAAAAGGTGAGAGGGTTTCTAGTATCGAGAATTCGATGCGTACCGACGCTGAACGGCGAATATCGACTCGTAAATCAGCTTTTACGTAGCCGGGGGCGACGTTAACGAGGAAAAATGAGAAGTGATAAATGGTCTGGTCGGTTGACAGATCGAGGACGAGACCCCATCGAAACCCCATTAAGTGTCGTGCCTCTCCTATCTCTTCGCTTCTGCGAACGCCATTTTTCAGTGGTCCATCGTCCTCGGCTTCCCTTCCCTCAGCTTCCGTCGTTCCGCGACGCGATAATCGTGTCGATTAACGCGAAAATTCGTCGCCGACCCTCCCGGTCACGGATTCCCGTTCTTCTTCGGAGAACACTTACTTCAATTATCCTCCTAGTCGTTGATGTCGTTGAAATTGAAACTCTCGAGAGCTCGCGTTCAATTAATTCGCGTTTCCGCGGTACGTTTTCTTCTGCGCGGCTTCCTCGAAAACGAGATTTCGTGTTGCAGTTTCAATTGGACTCGACGCGACGCGTCGATTGGAAACGCGCGCCTTTGTCGGACACTTGGTTAATCTTGAAAGATTTACGTCGCCCTCGGACGATCTATTTTTATCTTCTATTTCGATCCAGCAGCTTAAGAGTTTCCAGCGCGTCTGAGAAGCTCGCCAGTTTACTTCGAAGTGACTTTAATTGTCGAGCTGGCGGATGATAAATGAACGTAATCGTCGCGTCTCAGGCGCGTCACGTCGACCGTCATTTACGACGGTCTTTCGTTACGTTAACGTCGTGCGAACGGGTCGCGTTAACCGTAAGCCGTTCGTGATGCAACGCGTCACGCAGGCAAATGTGTTCCTTGCCAGCTTTAAATCAATGATAAGATTCATACACGTACCGAGGGAACACGGGCATGGCTCGACGTGCCCCGTCACCGACGAAACAAATGTGTTCCTGCCGCTGTACGTAGGCTCCTCCTCGTTCGCTGGCTGCTTTTCGGCTCTGTGTACGAAATTGTCGAAACGTACGGGACAGGCGGCGATATATCTCTAGGGAAACGTTTCTGTGCCCCCACGGGGATTTCGTGCAGGTCTTGCGGGCAGATTTTACGCGACTGGATGACTCCTTAACCACCCCGATGGAATTAAACGAACCGTATCGTTCGCCGTTCCGTCTTCTGTTCGCGACGTTATTTTGTTTAGGGCGGTGGTCGTCGATCTCGAAGGACGAGGGCAACGTAAACTCGATTTTACTTTCTGCCACTTCAAGATAGTCGCTACCAACGACTATGGCCACTGTTGCGAGCAACTGATCGCTCGCGAGGGGCCATTGGTTTGGAATTATCCGTGTTCGATGGATGACAGACTGGACGCGATATGCAATTTCGTTTTTATTCCAAGGCCAAGCATTCTTCCGTCCAGTTTTTTTTTTTTAAAGCTAACCAACGAGTCGTACATAAATAAGAGGTACGTAGATTTTTCGAATGAAAAACTTTGTTTTCGTCACGATCTCGAGCCACGCGTTCGTTGCATCGAATTTCCCGGAGCAGTCGCGAGTCGAATCGAGCGATGCCCGGTCGGATCGTCGTCTTCCATTGGAGAATCTATCGTCCCCGCCTAGGTGGAGCATTGACGCTCGTCAGCCCTACCCTATGTCTTCCATTTTTAGATTAATGCTCGCCTTCGAAACCCGCGCATTCAATCCTGATGCCCGAGCTCGTGCCCGCCTTCCTCTCGTCCGATCGCACAAATTAATCAACGCCCCATTTTACTTTCTTCGAATTCCATCAAGTTCCACGGGACGCTGAGAAGCTCTCGCGCCAAACCAACGGAAGCGGAAAGAAGAGAAATCCCGCGGTGAAACGAAACCGTGGTGTGTCGCGAGAATCCAGGAAAAAATGGATCGTGCCGTCTACGATCACTTTTTGCTTCGTGCATACCGTATTTCCGTTCGCGGTTCCATCGGTCGATGGTCGAGGAAGTCGATTGTTCGTTCGATCATCGACGCGTACTGCCGAAGCCGCGTTCGTTTTTTAGTTTGGTCGTGGTAGGTTCTCAGACCCTCGAAATACAAGGAATCGGGCCCCGTGGCTCGCGAGGCTTACCAAAGGTGCGAGCTTTCGGCCCTAAGCTAGCTTTAAGGAAGAACCCCGTTTCGTAGATAGGCTCAACGAGACAAGAATGTTTGAATTGTTCAGGAATACGTCGCGCGACAACCGCGAGGCGAGACCGGTGAAACCTGGTCGCAGCTCGCGGAACGAACAGTGTATATAAGAGCCGAGTCGATTATTCGATCGCTCGTGGATCGACCTTCGCTTTCGCCGTCGCCGTCGCCATCGCCGTCGCCGTCGCCGTCGGTT